TACTAATTATATTTTAGATTTTTTTTATTTAAAATGAGATGTTTATCCTGTATTTGATTGTGTTTATCTGCAGTTAGTTACACGAATTCAGATATGGGACGACATCGGATAGAGATGAACGGGTTTAAGAGTTTTTAAGAGTTTTAAGAGTTTTAGCCAAATGTTTTATAAAATAGTATAGATAATTATAAAAATATAATATAAACATTGAGATTTGATATATAAATAAACATAAATAATTTATATTATATTTTGATTTATTTTAAAACTACATTATGTGTAGTACAATTAACACGTAAAAGCCATGTATACTTCGTATTTATTAACTCTGCCTACTAAGTGAAAATAGAGATGAATTTTTTTTTTGTGCATTTTGTAGGTCAACTCGCATCTATAAACTATAAAACAAAATGTGAATAATTAAATCAAGCAACAATTATAAATTATAAATTAATTAATAAAGAAATACTTGATTTAAAACAAAATTATATACCTAAAAATGCATTTTTAAGGGTAGAAATGGAAATAAAGTAGAGAAAGAAGAAAAATGAATAAAGAATTTAGGGAAAAGTCCAATAAAACCCTATGAACTTTAGTGTTTTGATTGATTAAGTCCTTGAACTATTTTTTGGAACAAATAAATCATTGGACTTTTGAAAACTTGTTAAATAAATCCTTAAACTTTCTTAAACCTGTTAAATAGGTCCTCATTCTTTAAAAATATAACTTGTAACCTGGGTAACAGGTAAACCAAACAAATTAAAAAAAAGGAAAAGTCTAAAAGAACCCAATGAACTTTAGTGTTTGGAATGATTAATTCTTTGAACAATTTTTTGGAACAAATAAATCATTGGACATTTTAAAACCTGTTAAATAACTCCTTGAACTTTCTAAAACTTGTTAGATACATCCTTATAACCTATAAAATTAGTTAATGTGGTAAAATAATGAAAAAATTCTGACAAAAAACTAATGAACTTTTATATTTTGAATGATTTAGTCCCTAAACATTTTTTAACCAAAAAAATACTTCAATTTATAAAATGAAACAAATACCATTCTCATTAGCCTTCTCAAAAAAATACTTCAATGCATATTTTTCTAACATAAATATATAAAGTAAAAATAATAATAAAATATAAATTTATAACTAATAAAAACAATATATATTTTTCTAATATAAATGCATATTTTCTTTTATGTATTTTAGTATTTATTTTATAATATTATAGCAACAATATAATTGAATATATAGATAAATAGAAAAAGAACAATAAAAAACAAAAAAAATTTAAAAAAAAGGACATACAGAGCCCATAAAAATATCAAAAAATCTTTTGATTCTTGCTCTTTTACAACAATACAAGTAGTTTTTTGGATTAAAATAATTTAATTAACCAATTTTCAAAAAGTTCAATCATTTAATCATTCAAAAAAAAAAATACGACTTATTCAATAAAAAATAATTCAAAGTTTTAATAGTTTAAAATGAAACAATTCCTTAGTATTCTGAACTTTTATGTGATAATCAGGTTATATTATTGGAAAACTTGATGATTGCTTTTGATATGTTGTGAAAGTCGAGGGATTATTTTTAAAAGTTGCTTTAAAATATCTCTTTGGCCACCGCCTTTTCTTGAAAAAAAGAATATATATATATATATATATATATATATATATATATATGGTATATTTCTTTTATAACCCTGTGTATTTGTACAACCTTTGTAACCCAATTAATTGAGATATTTATAGAAATGATTGGAGTTCATTTATTATGATTTGAATATTTATGGAATATGAATAGAGTTTATTAAATGATTAATATTTTATATTAGGAAACAATTAATTGATTAAAAATTGAATGGTTGAGATGAGGGTTGTATAGGGTGTAGGAATGACAAAAGGTGTAGAATTACATCCTTATATATATATATATATATATATATGAGTGATCAAATACAAAGCACCCAAATTGTACAAACCATGCAAACCATCCTCATTAATCGATTTCATTGTTTAATTTTATTAAATTTTTTCTTGAAATTGTTTAATCTTGTGGAATTGTTTCATATAACACTTTTTTTTATAAAGTTATTTCATATATGGTTATGAAATTGTTTCATATAATATTTAATGAAATTTTAATGAAATTGTTTCATGTATTTCTCTAAAATTATAATAATGAAGATGGTAATATCCATGATTAATCAACCTCTTATAATTACAAAAAATAAACAAAATGAAAAATTATGATTGGTTGAATGAGATTTGTATGGTTTATACAAGTAACGTGGTTTGCAATTACAAAAAAAATAGTTATAAGATAAAAATAGTTAACATCCTCCACAATAAATTTAGTTGATCAATCTCTCATAATTACAAAAAAAATGAACAAAATGAAAAATTATGATTGGTTGAATGGGATTTGCATGGTTAATTATGGATATTATCATCTTCATTGTTTTAATTTTAAAGAAATACATAAAATAGTTTCATTATAATTTTATTAAGTATTATATGAAACAATTTCATAACTATATATGAAACAACTTCATCAAAAAAAAGTATTATATGAAACAATTTCACAGGATTACAATTTCATTAAAAAAATTTATAAGATTAAACAACGAAATCGACGGATGAGGGTAGTTTACACAGTTTGTACAAATAAATGTGGTTTTCATTTGATCCCTCACTATAACTTAATATATATATATATATATATAATAGTAATAGTAATTAAATATAATATATTATTAAATAAATTTAATATTTTATAAATTTTAAAGATAACACAGTTATTAAACATTTAAAGCAAAAGAAAAAGCAAAAGAGAAAGCCACACGTCGAATTCCATTAACTTCCACAATTATAACCTCTCATCTTTCCTTACTCTTATTCTGCAGGATTGTTGACAGAGAAGATCACAAGCAACAGCACAACCATCCAGAATTTCTCAAATACGTAATTGCACAAAGTTCCATTTTTGCTTGCTTCTCTGTAGGAGCTTGCACAAGTAAGAATATCGAGCAATGGAGATTGTTACTGCCATTGTTGGTCCTTTGGTTGAGTCTCTCGTAGTCCCCGTTAAGAAACACCTCGGTTACTTGATTTCTTACGAAAGGTATGTGAGGGATATGGGTACAAAAATGAGAGAGTTGAAAGCTACAAGACTTGGTGTTGAAGACCACATAAACCATAACAAAAGCAATTCCCTTAAGGTTCCAATGGAGGTCAGTGGTTGGTTGGAAGAAGTAGGAAATATTGAAGAACAAGTACTGGAAACCATTCCTAGTGATGTCGGCAGTTGCTTCAATCTCAAGGATAGGCATAAGCTAGGAAGGAAAGCCTTTAAGATCACTCAGGATATCGACCGTCTCAAAGAAGAAAAGTCTAGGATTGATTGGACTGATCATCCAATTCCTCTTGCAAAAGTTGATTCCATGAAGCTTTCAACCTCTACACCATCAAGTTATCACAATGACTTCAAATCAAGAGAGCCGACGTTTATGGAAGCACTTAAAGCCCTCCAACCAGACAACAAAACCCACATGATAGCTTTATGTGGGATGGGGGGAGTCGGGAAGACCATAATGGTGCAAAAGCTAAAGAAAGTTGTAAGTGAAAAAAAGTTGTTTGATTTTATTATTGAGGTTGTTATAGGGGAAAAGATGGAGGTGCTTCTAATTCAGCAAGCTATAGCAGACTTCCTGAGTTTAGATCTAAAAGAAACCACTACACCAGCTAGAGCTATTAAGCTTCGTAAAAGTTTCGAGGCCCGCTCTGATGGTGGTAAAAAGAAGTTTCTAATACTACTAGATGATGTATGGCAGTTCGTTGATCTGAATGATATCGGGTTAAGTCCATTGCCAAATCAAGGTATCRATTTTAAGGTATTATTGACATCACGAGACCGAGGTGTTTGTACTACGATGGGAGTTGAACTTGATTCAATTCTCAATGTGAAAGTCATAGAGAACTCAGAAGCAYATAATTTCTTTCTCCAATTTGTAAAGGKTTCCGATGATGATGATCTCGATATTGAGCTCCGTGAGATAGGAGAAGATATTGCAAATAGATGTCACGGTCTGCCCATTGCCATCAAAACCATAGCCCGTACTCTTAAAGGTAAAAGCAAGCATGTGTGGGAAGATACATGTTCTAGAATAGAGAACAAAGATGTTGATGAAGCCGTGCATCAAGTCTTTGAGATAAGCTACAGAAATCTCCATGATGAAGAGACTAGATCAACTTTGTTGTTGTGTTGTTTGTTTCCCGAAGATTTTGATACCCCTGTGGAGGACTTAGTGAGGTACGGTTGGGGCTTGAAAATATTTAACAAAGTGGATACTATAAGAAAAGCAAGAAACAGGTTGAACACATGCATTGAGCGACTCATACATGCAAATTTGTTGATTCAAAGTGAGGAAGTTGGTTGTGTCAAGATGCACGATCTAGTGCGTGCTTTTGTTTTAGACATGTGTTCTGAAGGCGAACATGCTTCTGTTGTCGGTGATATGTCAAAGTGGCCTGCCAAACGAGTGAGCGAGTTTTGCAAAAGAATTTCAATAACATGCACAGGAATGTCTGAGTTTCCTAGAGATCGTAAATATCCAAACCTTTTGTTATTGAATCTTATGAATGGAGAGAAGTCGTTTCCTGAAGACTTTTATCAAGAAATGGAGAAACTTGAAGTAATAGCGTATGAAAGAATGACGTATCCATTGATTCCCATATCACAATACTCGAGAAATCTTCGAATGCTATGTATCCATGAATGCCCATTTATGTTTGATTGCTCTCCTGTTGGTGATCTTTTGAACTTGGAATTGCTTAGTTTTACCGCTTGCAAAATAGAAAAGTTACCATCCACACTTGGAAATTTGAAGGAGCTAAAGTTACTTAATTTGACAGGTTGTAGTAATCTTTGTATTGACGATGGTGTCTTGAAAAGTTTGGTCAAACTTGAAGAGCTTTATATGGAAGGGGTTAGACGACATGCCGATGGTGATGAATTAGTAGAGTGTTCAAAAAACCTTGATGCAATAGAAATTGAGTTTTTTGGTGACAATGCTTTGCCAAAGAATATGTCATTTGGGAAACTTGAAAGATTCAAGATCTCTTTGGGATGCTCTTTAAAAGACCATCATCACCAAATCAAACACTCATTCGAAAACACATTGTGTTTGGTGACCAACAAATGTGAACTTTTGGATTTTAGGGTGAATGATTTGTTTGGAAAAACAAAGGTGCTTCACTTACAAGTGGATGGTATAAATGATCTTGGAGATTGTTTAGGGGAATCCTTGCATCATTTTCGATGCCCATTTTTCAGTTTAAGAGTCCTTCAAATTTTTGAGTGTGAACATTTGAGATACCTCTTCACAGTCCATGTGGCAAATGGTCTGAAGCAGCTTGAGCACCTCAAAATTATCGAGTGCCCTGCTTTAGAAACACTTATAGATGATGAGAATTGTGATGTTGAGGTCACTAAATTTCCATCTCTAAAGTTTCTATATTTGAGTAATCTACCAACGCTAATGAGTTTGTGCAAGCTGGGTGGCAGCATAATTGAGTTCCCACAACTGGAACGACTGGTACTTGAGAACCTTCCAAATTTCACTAGCATTTATCAAGATTTTCTAAAGAAAGAGGTACATATGTTTTAGTTTACGTAAAAATTATAGTAATAAACTTCAATTTTCTAGTAGATTGAATTAGTAATAGAAGTCACAATATTACTTGATTTGAATGTAGTTATTTGATTATGATGCAGGTTATGAGTTCTAAGTTGAAGGATTTGACAATTATGGAGATGGAGAAGTTGACGGAGATATGGCCAAGTCAATATTTGAGTAGTAATGAGGTTAGTCAATTGAGAGAGATTCAAGTGAAAGAATGTGATAGTCTTGTGAACTTGTTTCCAAGCAATCCAATGTCGTTGTTGTATCATCTAGAAAAACTTGAAGTTTTCAATTGTGGTTCCATTGATGTGTTATTCAACATTGATATGGGATCATGTGTTGATGAAATTGAGCAAGGGAACAACAACTTGAGATCTATTACAGCAATTGGATTAAGGAAACTTAGAGAGGTTTGGAGGGTGAAAGGAGTAGTCAACTCTAGTCTCCCCATTCTTGGCTTTCAAAGTGTAGAATGCATAGAGATAATAAGATGCAAGAGGTTAAGACATGTATTCACACCTACTACCTCAAACTTTGACATGAGGGCACTTAAGAAGATTACTATAGATGACATTGATGGGTGGGGAGAAAATAAAAGCATCAATGAAGAGGTATGTTGTGTCATCCTAACTTTCAGTTTCGTTATAAAATTGTTGACGCAATTTAGTTTTTGTTAAATGAATTTGCTAATTACATTTGTTGTGGAATTAATATATGCAGATTAATGTTACAACCAATCAAGAGATATCAGAAGTGGATGATGATATTCATAATGTTGCATTCCCATCTTATCTCATGCATAATTTGCATCAACTTCATACGCTTAAGTTAGATTCTTTTGAAGGGGTGGAGGTAGTGTTTAAGATAGAGAGTTCAAGTTGTAGAAAGTTGGCAACAACTCAGAATAATCAACAACCGGAACTACTCCCGCACCTCAAGAATCTGAAATTAATCGGTCTGAAGAGGATGATCCATGTATGGAAGTACGATTGGAACCAATTCTTAGTTTCTCAACAAGAACCGAAATCTTCTTCATTCGTCAATATCACGAGCATAACCCTTAGTTCATGTGGCCGTGTAAAGTACTTATTCTCTCCTCTCATGGCCAAACTTCTATCCAACTTAATTAGCATCAGAATAAAGTCGTGTGATGCTATGGAAGAGGTTGTTTCTAACATAGACGATGAATATGAAGGAATGGCTACATCTATATCTTGCCACACAAATACCACTTTCTTCCCGCATTTAGACAATCTCAACCTTGGTTATTTACCATGTCTAAAGCGTATCAATGGTGTTGGTAACAAGTGCGGGGGAAAGAAACTCATGACTTGCATTGTTAGTGCTTCTTCTGTTTATGATAAATTCCAGGTATAATTTTGTTTTTTATCACTATCATGTGAAAATTTAACTATTTACTTCAAATTTTGTATTTATCTGTAAATGTGCTATCAGTTGTATATTTTATGATCTTCGTTAATATTCGCTGCTTGTATACGATATCTCAATTGATTGACTTAATTTTGTTTGTCATGTATTGTAGTGTTATCAAGTTGGTGGAGCATATTGGTCCTCTTGCCAATACGCAAAAAAAATTGATATACGGGAATGTGATGCCTTGTTAACTCTGATTCCATCCCAAGCGGTTGGACATATGCCAAAGCTTGAAGTGTTGAAGATAACATCGTGCGAATCAATGAGGGAGATATTTGAAACTGAAGGGGTCAACGAGGATGTTGGTGACAATGCTAATATTGGTGAAGGAAGTGGTGATACGGGTGCAATCCCAACACCGATAAATATGACTTCACTTGAATTGCCCAACCTAAAAACCTTGTATATTGTAGGATGCCACAGTTTGAAATATATATTCCCAACTTCTGTACTTGAGAGCCTTAAGAAACTCCAAAAGTTGAAGATAAGTTATTGCTCTGCAATACAAGTGATTGTGAAGCAAGAAGTCAATGGAGAGCACATAATAGGATTGGAAGATGTGGTCTTCCCTCGTCTTACGACCCTTAAACTAGTTGGTTTACCAAATCTCAAGGGGTTCTTCTTGGGGAAGAATGACTTCCAGTGGCCATTATTGGATAAGGTTGAGATCTACGGTTGTCCGCAAATGATGATTTTCACATCTGGTCGCTCGATGGCTTCGAAACTAGAATACATACATACAGGTGTAGGCAAACATAGTCTTGAATGTGGCCTCAACTTTGATTGGACCAATGCACCACATGAGGTAAAATATGTTGTTACCTGGTTCATTGAACTATAAAATTAATTAACATTATTTTAGTTTTTATCAGCGTGGCTAACTGATGTATGTCTTTTTCTTAATAGGGTCAACTCTATAGGTCAAGTTCCTGCTTGACTGCTGCAGATATAGTAGAGTTACTTCAATTCCCTTGGTCTTTTTCCAACTTAGTCGAAGTAGATGTAGGTGTTTTTGACGTGGCTTCAAGTAAAGCAATATTTCCAAGCAATGAGTTGTTTAACGTAGAAAATGTTGGAGATATTGAAGAAGCGGAAAAGGTATTTGAAGTAGTAGAAGGGACAAATGATGAAACACAATCTGCAGATGATGTGATACTAATTTCCAAGAAAAAACAAGTTATATGGAAGAGTAATTGGTGGATACCATCCAAACTTTCAAACCTCACAAGGGTATCACTTGTATATTGTCAAAAGCTGGAACATGTTTTCTCTCATGGCATGGCTGCTAGTTTAGTCCAACTGCAACACCTAAATATAGATTCATGCCTCAATTTGAAGGTAATTGTGGAGGCAGTGCGAGATTCCACTAACGAGGTGGTTTCCTTCCCTTGTCTAAAATTCTTACAACTTTCTCTTCTTTACGAATTGGAGGGATTTTGCTTGGGAAATGATCAGGCTTTTCAATGGCCATCATTAGATACTTTGATAATAAATAGATGTCCAAGAATGACAGTTTTCACCAAGGGACAGTCTACTACTCCAAAGCTAGAGGTAATAAGAACAAATTTTGGATGGTGTGAAGCAAAGGATGACATCAACTCCTTTATAAGGAAAAGAACACAAGAGGTAGGTTTGTGATATTCAGTTCCTTCTAATTTGTGAGATTAAGTTATGTTATTTTAGTATGAACATTCTTGTTTTAATTACAGGGATACGAATTCTAGAGAAATATTGATCGAGGTTGCAACTGCGCGCACTTTGGATTTGCAATCATATTGTTTTGTGGTATATACTTTTAAAACCATTTATCAGCATCTCAACATGTATTCTGTTTTAAAACCACCATGCAAAAACAACACTACTCAATTTAAACCAAGTGGCAGATGAGCAAGCTAATCGAATTAGGTTTGAATAGCTGCTAATTAATGTATATACTCGGAGTTTAGTAATCATTGTATTTATGTCCTCTTAACATAACTGATTAATTTGGTACCATGACTATTCATGTTCTTGCAACAGTATCAGGATTGTCGTGCGCTAGGAGCTATTGTGAGGTGTATATATATATATATATGTTTGTGTGTGTGTATATATATATATATCAGAGCAAGTCTAATAAAAAATGTGCTAAATAATTTCCGCATGTGTACATTGAGTTGGGTTAATTTTCCAAATAGCTCAAGTTTGATAGGGTTGAATCCCCCTTTTTATCTCATCTTCCAACCACCTCTCAACTAAGTATTTTTTTTTTCAATCCCAGAGAAACCTCAAGAAGCTGAGGAAAGAAAATCGATCGAAAGGCGGGAGAGAAAAGGAGCAATAGTTTGAAGTGGGGGCTCGTCAATTTCTTGTTGATTGGAGGTAAGTTCTGTCCCAGCCTTGAATTTATGTAATTAGTAACTGGTTTGTGAATTTTGGGTAGAATTGGAGTCGTTTTGGTGGCCCGAAAGACATCGGTTCGGTTGATAATAATGGCAGCAGCATAGGGTTCGCTTAAGTCACATGAGACCAGGCTGTTTTCGTGAGACCACATTTTTACACTTGAAACTTCACAGCAAAATCACTGTGAAGGTTTGTGAAGGTTTAAAAAAGTCGAACCTTCATAGTAAAAACACTGTGAAGGTTACCTTCACAGCATTTTGCTGTGAAGTTTCAAGTGTAAAAAGCTGGTCTCACGGGTCTCACGAAAACATGCTGGTCTCACGTGATCCAAGTCTATATATATATATATATATATATGTGGCAAGTAGAACATGTCCTAATCATGCTATTTGAGTTAGTACAAATATGTGTTTTCTCCAAAAGATCACGTTTAATTGTTCAGTAACATTTTAKTATGATTTTTACCTCTAAGTGTACATATGTTACTAGATGTGATCGGTTACGTACCGTTCGGTTTGAGCCTCTCAATTGTTACAGCTACTTGTTCATTCAACATGTTTTTTTACATTACTTATGTTGATCATTCATTCNTATGATTTTTACCTCTAAGTGTACATATGTTACTAGATGTGATCGGTTACGTACCGTTCGGTTTGAGCCTCTCAATTGTTACAGCTACTTGTTCATTCAACATGTTTTTTTACATTACTTATGTTGATCATTCATTCGATGTAGATACATTTTGCTCTTACTCTTAATTGAGACTATATGACATCACATTCGTTGTGACAAGTTAACTCCAGGTAAGTCAAGCTACTAACCACCTATGGGGATACCATAGGCACGTCATTGTGGCACCGGTGGCGTGAAACTAACTGTGGTAGCTTGACCAGTCCACGACGTCTCTTCTTTTGTGCTCTTGTGAGAGCTATTTGGTGTGATGAATATTAGTTTTAGGAGGCGTATGAATCAGCCATAGCATATGTGATTCGTTTCTGGGGTGGATGTCGGTGTAGTGTCCAAGTCCACATCTCACATTTAGTACGTGTGGATCTGCAGTCCAACGTACAGGCCTGTGTGGCCATATGTCTGACACTTGTATGTTGGTTGACATGCAAGTGTATGCGTTTTTCGAGCTCGATTTATATCCCTTCATATGCCTTCGTATGATTATGTTATTTGTTGATTATACCAAGATTTTGATACTTGTTTTGTTCGATATCTTGATATTAATTTTGGCATGTTTGTATTACCATTTTACTATAATTGTTTATCCATTCACTAGCATTTGGCTCAACCGTGTTCTTTTTTGTTGCTCACGGCAGGTAATCAAGGGGGCGGATAAGTCTTGTGATGGAGAGTAGACCAGGATCTCAATTTCAAAGGTTTCGAGAGGTTTAGTGTTATGTTATTCATTAATTGGATTTATTTCTTTGGCTATTAGACTAGCATTTCTTTTAAGGTTCTATTTGGATTTTCCTTGAGTTGTTGGAAGGTGCTTGAAGTGGTTTGTTTGGAGATGTTTATTTCTTTGTTTGGGATGTATTTAATTTCGTTACTGGAAGATTTTTTTTTTTTGTATTAAAGACTATATTTTGGAGGTTTTATATATCGGCTCTGTTACGTTTCGAAGCGATCTACATTCCTATGGAATGGGGGTGTTACAATTACAGTATATGAACTTTATATTTATAATCCATAGTATCTCTTGACCAGGTAGTTGTATCAATTGAGAAATTGAAACAGTAATCACCATACATAATTTCTGCATAGTTGGGAGCTATTTCAACCCTTTGATCTACTTCACTACTAACGAGCACCACTTTTTGGGGCAGAATTCTAATGCAGCACTACTATTTGCTAACAATATATGGTGTTGTTTCAATCATTTAGGGCAAGTTTTGGGACAAGTTTGTGGCTTTCTTTTTCAAGATTTCAACAACATATTATCTTTACATGTCCACTCTAGGTGCAGGTACCTCCATGCATCCATTGCCCCTCCCCTAGAAGAAAAATGAAGATTACCGGTAATCTCCACAAGATCATAAACCATCAGCGAAATGATGAAACCTCCTTGTATCACGAATGATGATCTTACGCTTTTCAACAAACGATACAAACTTTGCCATGTTGTGGCAATCACCACAGATCCTCAGGTTCTTTGTGATTATCAGAGGCTTGCTGTCATTACAGACCAAAAGACCGAATGCAATTGCCAGCTTTTCATTGTGTTTGCTCACCAAACTTTCTTTAACTTCTTCCTCTACATCATGTAGAACGAACTCCGGATTGGGAACATATACAGCCTTTTGTATTTTCTTGATAACTTCATCTAACTTAGCATATATACTCTCACTCTCACTCTCAGGGTGTGCTTGATCATTCACAAGAAAACGATGAATCATGTGTCCATGTTCAATGTAGCTGCAGCCGGCAGTTCTTACAACACCTTTCTCTTTCATTAAAGATCGAACTTTTGAAAAATCTTTCCAACGACCAACCTTTGCGTATATGCTTAATAGCATAATATAATTTCTAGGGTGCAAGGGGTTTAAAGCAATATGTCTTTCTATTACTTCCTCACCAAGCTCTACGTCGACGTGCGTTGACCAAAAAAGAAAGATTCAATCATGCCCACGCACAACTCAGAAATGTTATCGAATGTGCTATTATGAAAGCAAGATTCCCAATTTTGAAACAAGTGACCCCTTATCCTTTTCGAATATGAAGAAGCATTGCAATTGCTTGTTTCGCAATCCATAACTTTATAAGAAGATGCAATATGCAAAATCAATTAATCATGGACTACGACAATAACCTCATGCTCATCAATGAAGCGCAAGAACAAATTGACGGAGGCGAGGAAGAAGAGATAGATGCAACGCCTTGGGGTCCCGAAGACAATGAGTACATGGCTAATTTGCGTAATGAGATTGCAAATCAATTGGTGTTAAATGTTTCAAGTTAGATGTTGTACACAACATATTGGGTTTAAACTTGCGTTTCATGTGATGTTTTGTTATGTCAAAACTTGAATAAACAATTATTATGCTTGTTTAGATTGATATGATATTATGCATTGGCTTGGACCGTTAATTATTTTTTATTTTTCATCTAGAAATTTCTATCAGAACTTTTGTTAGACGTTAATTTTCATTAAACACAAGACTGGGGTAAAATGATAATTTTATGTCATTCAAACTGTTGATCTAGAGCACTTCCCAAACAACCAATTTCATATCTAGACTAATTCATTAAGTCCCTTAATCATTCTGACCACTTAATCATTCTACACTCAATCATTCAGTATTTGCTTATGGCTCTTGCAACATCCACCCTCTTAAATATGCTTAACTTGTGATTCTACATATTTATTATATGTTAAAACATGCTTTATGTGCTAATTGTGTAAAAAGAGAATTTGCTAAAATGCCTAGTGTACTAGTGAGCTATAAGTAGAAGCTATAGTTAGAATGAGATGTAGGAGGTAAGTTTGGTTCTAACATCTCACAAATGGCATAATTAGACGATGTGAGGGTTCAAAATACAAAGTGCATTGCCTAACTGGAAATCAGGTAGGTAATTAGAGTGCCTAAATGGGAAAAATCTACCCAAAACTTGAACGGATGAACTAAATGGTGATGTAAAGGTTGGAACACCTATGAATAAGTTAATATGAAGTGTTAGAAGTGGCGGAAGTCGAAAAAGTCGCGTAGATTGCATTTTATGCAAGTTTTACAAATTACGTTGCTTTTTCGGTAAACTACGTGCACAACACTCAAACGGGAGGTGTTAGATGGGATTTTAAGCTTTGGAACTAAGTTTTGGATCTATTAGGAGTTGCTGGAGGTGTCGTAAATTTTTTACGGGATTCCGGGCTCAAAATCAAAAACGACAAAATTGCAAAGGAAAGCATAACACCTGCAAATATGTAAAACTGCTTTTATTGGGAGGTTTTTTCTGAATTATTTTTATTGGAAGTTATAGATTATCTTGTTACGAACGTATAGGCAAAAACCTCATTAAAAACGGAGGTCCGAGCGAAAAGTTAATAATTATTTTGTATTACGTGGTCAATTTTTTATCTCGTTTTAGGAAAACAGTGCTTGGGCTGTGGCCATGGTTCAACACATTCCTTGTAAAATTTAGTACAAGATTTTTGGTCTGTTCGTTCAATACATCTCTTAGAGAACATATAATTTGTGTTGTATGTTGGTATCATTCTGCTACTTAAATGAATACTCTGGTTTGGTCAACCACTGGG